CAACATGACTATTTGGTGGCCGATGGGACGTGTCGCTACAACGATTTTCTGGGATACTACCGGGCTGGTTGCCAGCAACAGCAAGCTACCTCAACATTTTCAGCAACAACACGGAATACTGTAGAGTTCGAAACAAATACAGATGCCACTATTGTCTTGGAAGCCGTCTTTTGCTACGATCCGAAGTGTTCCAGCGGGTGCATGGATGGATCTGTCGTCCATCCAAGCAAGGTGTACACGTCGAACACGTGCTATGCATCTTCCTATTACTATAAGAAAGGGCTTATGATGTCAAAAGAGGAGGAGAATGACACGCACTATTACTACCCGTTTGGGTTCGAGTTTGTTGGCGGATGCTTTGAATCTGAGAACTGCCACAATTACTCGATCAGTTAACGAGCATATAATCACACCGAACGAAGGCAGACTATGCCGAGAGCAGAATGGAACAAAAAAGATGACACAGACCGTAAAAGGAACGATTCTGAAACCATTTACCATCCGTAAAAAGAAACCTTGTAACAACATTTTCAACACACTACCTAAAGACATACGAAATGTGCTCGTAAAGGAATAACTTTGAATCATAGTAGCATGATCATCACATTCGCTAAGAAATTGCCTCTGAGGAATTAATTTGTTGGCATGAACATTTAATTTTGATTCAAAACCAACTAAGATTAGATTAAAATTCTGGAAACAGAAATTATAGGAATAGTATAGCTCCACATATATGTGATCGAAAAAATCAGCTGGCCCCATCGGATGGGATTGCTAGGACCAGAAATCTATTCCTCACTTCCAAGTGGATCACCAAACGGGTTCCTAAGTTGAAACGAAATGACTGCGTTAGCGTTGCACTTCACACTTCAAGGAAGCTGTAAAATGTATCACACGAACGATGGCACAGGTGTGTGATAGTGACGTTGTTGATATTGCCTAAACATAATGTGAACGAAGCATTTCATGAAAAATAGAATCTATTCATTACTATAGATTGGAAAATGAGCTTTGAGAAACAGCAAACCATGGTATAGGAGAAAAGCACTGCAGAGAGTCTGCAGAGAGAGGGTGGGATGAATTCAAGTTCGTGTTTTCGAGTAACGTATATCCAAAAAAAAGCGACTCTCATTTGCGAATCACGTTTTGGATGCAATAAATTGGTTGTACTCTAGAAACCTTCGAAAGATCACTCGACAATTACCGCGACATACAATACACATACAGTACTAATCGCTCTTGATGTTGAAGTTTTGCTTTTTCCCCGCGCCTCCGTTTCCTCCTCCGTGCTTGGATGTGTGCGCCATCTTGTGCTGCTGGTGCCGCGCCTCCTGTTTTTGGGCAAGTTTTTCTTCCTTGTTCATCTTTTGGGTTTTCTGGGCTTGCTGTTGCTGGATTTCTTGGAGCTCTCTCTCTGCTGTCAGGGCCTTGTCGACGTACCGCATGGCCACGACAATAACAACGTCGGCAATCATAAAAGGGACCTTGGCCTCCTGAGAAGCATCGTTGGTGCACGGTGTTGTTAAATATTTTGTTAGAAAACCGAAAACAGGAGTGCATCCTTCGTCCGCAAATCATTTTACGTGGGTCAGCAACGAACAACACGGCAAACCAAATCCGGTCGATCGAACAGTAATAGCGAATGCTCCCAAATATTATTCCGCAACAAATACAAACCGAGGAAACATACCGGGATCTGCCAGTAAAAGTGGTTCAACAGAGTCAATGCCATCTTAGAAAATAATCGGTTTGGTTTTTGTTCCGTTGTATTAGGTTGAGATGTTAGACCAGGTTATAACCCGCGAATGGTCTTTTTCTAATACGGGTAATGTGTTCCTCTCTACAATATTTACGAAAGAACAAGGATCATGATAGCCWAATCAGAACCCCAAAACGATCATCCGCTGGAATTTYACAGGGGCGCCAGAGGTCTGCTGGGAATCCGTGGGAAACACTAGTCGTACGGTACGACATGTAGCTACCGGTAGATTTGGTATCTTTCCTTCATGTTCCATCAACAAAAACTTGGCTTCCCACCTTTCTACAACGGATCGATTTTGCTTCGATTCTCTGTTCTCTGAAAGAGGAACTCCTCCCTTGGGATGGAATCTATGAAGGTCATGATGTAGGATTCATATCTTAAATATATATCATACATATGTACTTTACAATATTCATCGCGCGTGACTGAATTTTTTGGCTTACGTCATTCGAGAAGAAAGGGTTTTCGCTAAATACAATGGTTCGCTGATGAAAAAGCGTTTCTCTTCGCGTCGTACTGATATTTCAAGATCGCTGTCGCGAGCGGGGTCGTCCAGCCCAGCATTGCAACCGTTGGTGACACTCGACTCTGGACCTCCTCAAATCCAATCAAATCCTAAAATCTTTGGGAGGTTGACAACCTCCGATCAACTAATCGGTCATCTGTTTTCATTCAGTTTCAAAATAATATCTTGCTCGCCAGTTCTCATATTTTCAAATAAAAAGCGTTCGACAACAATGAAGATCACCGCTCTCGCACTACTAACTATTTTCGCCACTTCCTCCTCGGCATTCGGTTTGAATGGAGGACCCAAGACACTGGCCAAGACGGCCACCCGATCCGTCAGTGCCTTCCAGAAGCCCGCGATGGTCCAACCCGTCGACGTCCAGGGAAACCGCCTCTCCAACGTCGTAAGTTTCTCCATGATATGTATTTCGATGTTAGTGTTGGATTTGTCTTGTCGGCTTCCGTGGTCAACCCGCTTGTCGTGTAAAGACAGAATGCAGTGCAAAAGCTGCAAGGTAGATTTCATCTTCAACGAGGATGATCTCATACGTCATGAGAGAAAATCTTCCCCAGGATGTGACTATCGGATCGCCCTTATACTAGGTGCCCCGCAAAAACCTCGATCGCAGTGCATGATTTTGGATGTAACCCAAATTTGAAGATTCCTTCCGATTCAAGATTCTATGCCTTCGTTTTGTCTAGAGATAGGTCACCACGGAATCGGGACTTTATCAGTCCTTTTGTGTTCGCGTCTCGCGTGCTACGTAATCCATGTCACGCGGTTGAGAATATCTTCTCCTGCTCATCGCCATGCCAATCGATTTTACCATTGATTCCCTCTCACCTTTCTGTTGTTTGCGTTGCTGTTGATGAATCTGGGTGGATAATCAATTGGTCGATGGAAAAACCTTTTATCTATGCTTCCAAAAACAATCCGATGTTAGGCCTTGAAGGATGTCTCCGACGCTATCGCAGTTCGAGGAGGAGCCTCCGATGCCGCTCCTGCCAAGTCTGGTCCTGATTTTGGTCTCATTGCTTACTTCGCCCTGTGGTACCTCGGTAACTACTACTACAACATCACCAATAAGCTTGCATTGAACGCTGCTGGAGGAAAGACTGGATTTCCCATGTCAATTTCGTCTCTTCAGCTCGGAGTAGGTGCTCTTTACGGAATCTTCCTCTGGCTCGCCCCAGATGCCCGTACCAAGCCTACCGTGAACATGCAGGATTTGATTAAGATGATCCCCGTCTCCTTCTGCTTCATGGGAGCCCACTCTGCCTCCGTATTTGCCATGGGAATGGGAGCCGTCTCCTTTGCCCAAATCGTCAAGGCGTCCGAACCCGCATTTTCCGCCGTCCTTTCCCAATATGTTTACGGAAAGCCCATTTCCAAGGCCAAGTGGTTGTGTCTCCCTATTGTTATTGGAGGAGTTATCTTGGCTTCCGTAAAGGAGCTTGATTTTGCCTGGTCCGCCCTCATCGCAGCCTGCATTGCAAACATGTTCGCTGCCGTCAAGGGTAACGAAAACAAGAAGCTCATGGAAACCGATGGATTGAAGGACCGATTGGGATCCGTCGGAAACCAGTTTGCCATCACCAGCATCCTGGCATTCATTTTGTCCCTCCCTATTGTTGCCATCAAGGAAGGATCCCGATTCGGTGACTTCATTGAGGCCGCCAAGACCACCCCCGCCATCTGGAAGAACTTGGTTGCCTCCGGTCTTTGGTTCTACGGATACAACGAGTGTGCCACCCTGACCCTGAAGAAGACCGGTGCCGTCACGCAATCCGTTGCCAACACCGCCAAGCGTGTCATTGTTATCGTTGGTGTTGCTCTTGTCCTCGGAGAATCCCTCGACCCCATCAAGTTGCTTGGATGCTCCATCGGAATTGGAGGAGTCTTGTTGTACTCCATCATTGATACCCTTGTTGCCAAGAAATAAATTCGGCGAAACAACATGCATGCATACATGTACAGCTAGAAGCAAGAATTCTATGCGAACTMCAGTAGTAGCTTTCTCGAGAGATTGCTATGGCCTGTTGGACTTACATTTTTTTCCAAGCACGGGTCGAAAAGTCAGACCCGGCGAGCAACCCTGTTATTATTATCAATGTGATAATACAAGAAAAAGTGACGACGATGATAAYAATATTAATATTGATGYCATACGTAAACTTCAATTTACTTGTTTTTACAACATATTCATTTKCTTYTTTTGTGGAGTTGCATTRWATGAAGATTTGAAATCATCACAAGCTTCCTTGCATCCGTTTTCAAATTTGCGTTGCCGCTTCAAACTAGATTGTTAGGCGATYCCACTATAATCGATCTTCTTCGAATATAACGGTGAGTGTCTATCGAGTTCGATACCATAGCTCCTGCAAAGATTTGGAAGGAGCAAACGCAGGTAGGATGGCTTCGGTTTCGAGTTTCTTTGGATGCATTCGTCGTTCACCTTTTTTCCTGAAGAAAGTACGCACCATTTGCCCTTGCAATAGATGGATGCTACACTTTGTATACTATCTATATAAATATACTGTCGACACGGAATTCTACGAAAAGCACTCCGTTACGATGCTGCCGCTTCGGGTGCCCTTCGGTAGGACAGACCGAAGGACGCGGTTCGGAGCGGCAAGGACGGGAACAAGTCTCGCTTGGCTTGGTTTTTCTAACAGGTCAAGGGATATCACACAGAAGTTTCGGCGACCGGGGCGCAACTCCGACACCAAGCCCTTCAAGAAGCAACACCGAATGCTCTTCGATCCGTAGCCAATTCGATGGACGTGCAAAAGTTCGACTGCTTTCGTTGACGCAAAAAAGAACAAAAGACATGGATTCTACGAATGCATTCGGCAGACATATATATATATATATTTTTTTTTATATTTTTTTTTTAAATTTTTTTCTAATTACCGGAACATGAGTTTTGAGCGGCCGAATGCATCAGAAAACTCGTGTCACAACTTTGAACTCCAATCAATCTCTAGAACATTGTAAGTGTTGTTGTTTTTGTTGCTGTTGCTGCTGTTGTTGTTGTGTTTAGAGTTCGCCCTTCAGATCGTCGTCGTCATCGTCGTCTTCCATGTCGAATCTGGGATCGAAATCTTCCGGTCTGGGAACCCTGAGACCTCTCTTGTTCATGATCATCTCGACGATGTTGAAGTTGGTCTTCGCCTTGATTTTCTCGACGGTGTTTTCGAATTCCTTCTGCAGGGCGTCGAATTGTTTCTCGATTTTCTCGAYTTCGGCGTCGAATTTCTGCTCCGCCTCAAAGGCCTGCTCGGCAATGTCCTTGGCGAGCGTCTCGAGCTCCTCGTCCGATTTGCCGTCGACGGCCTCAATGACGGCCTTTTCCTCRTCCGTGCAGGCCTCCAGCTTGTGGACACTGCAGACGGGTTTGGTGACGTACTTTGTGGCAAACTCCTTGAGGTCGTCGTAGCTGCGCATGCCCGGGTACTCCTTGAGGGAGTTGACGTCTCCCCATTTCAAGGTTGGGAAGCCCTGTGGGTTAAATTGGATTGGATTGGATTGGATTGGATTGGATCGCAAACAGGATTCAACGCCCGAACATCAAAGGGCAGCGTCGGCAAGGCACATCACGAAACAAAAAACGTCGACAAACAAAAGAAGCGGGTGTCAGATTGCAGTGCCAAGACCACACAACGCGAAAACCGAACCGACATCTTGGGGGCCCACAAAGCACTATCGAAAGGGTCGGCTGCGATTCATCGATCGATCGACCCTTCGGTCACACCGCCCCGAGCAACCGAAAGGAGGCAACGACACCACGGGTTTTTTTAATGGATTGTTTGTTTGTTCGTTTGTTTGTTTCTTGTTCTCACGCACCTCGATGTTGTAGGCCTCGCAGATCTGGTCGTTCTTGTCGTCGGTACAGTCGACGCTTCCCACCAGGGCGACCTCGTGGCCGGCAAAGTCGGCCTCCACCTTTGCCCAGTCCGCGGCCATGGCCTTGCAGTGCCCGCACCACGGGGCGTAGAACTTGAGAAAGACCGTCTTGCCCYGGGTCATTTCCTGCCAGTTGTCGGGGTCGAGCTCGAGGGCGCTCGCGCTCGCCGAAAGGGCGGCGGCGGCAAAAAAGGCGGTGGAGAAGAATCGGACCATGTTGGTGGTGTGTCGTGTGTTGTGTTGAGTTGTGATTTGTGTTGTGATTTGTGTTGTGTTGGCAGAAGCGTCGCGGTGCCTTCTTTTTTCTTTTCCGTTTTCTGGGATTTGTGACCTTTGGCGTTTGGCGGGGGAGTGACTGACTACAGTACAGTACAGTACTGTAATATCCAACGGTACGAACGGTACACATCAAAAACCTCTTTTTTTCCCCTCCTGCCGCCTGCCTCCTGTCCGGACGACGGGTGATAGCCGGAGAGGAAAAAAAGGCTTCTCTCTTTTTYCCCTTCCTTTTCGACGGATACAACACACCCCCAACGCAGCGCAACGCAACCCAACCGAAGCCCCCCCCTTTTCCTGCCTCGGTTGCGATGGGATTTTGGATTCTGGGCGTTCGTTCGCGGTCTGTGCGCCACGTGACGTTTTGAAAATCGGTTCCCTCGTGCATTGGTTTCTACCTATCATATGGTACGTACGCTATGTACGTACTAGTCGACGACCATTATGGCACCGTACGAGTCGGAGGTATCGGGAGGTGCAACGATCGGTACGAGTGCACCAGGAGACAAAGAAAACCACGCACAGAAGGAAGGAAGGAATCGATTGGACTACGGAGACGCGTTTTGTGTACTACGTCGTACGTGGTAGTGACGTAAGATTCCTCGGTATCGGGAACTAAAAAAATCGCTTGGTTGGGTTTTGGATTGCCTCCGAAAAACCGACCTTCGGTAGTTCCACAAGAAATACGAAATTCGAAACAGAAAGTACGGTACAATAACAGAGTAGTAGTAAAAGCATGGGGTGTCTAGTCGTTTTCCTACTGTGCTATCTCTTTCTTCCTACCCTGTGCCACCGCAAGAATATCGTTGCGTCACAAAATGGATGCAGGGCAGGACTCGGCATCCGTTGGCATTGGTTGGTTTATGAATTTATAGAATCCGTGCATCGGAAAAAGTGACGATTCGTGGTCGTTCGCCCATAGCTTGCCGTGTGTTGTAGTACTGTATAGTGTAGCAAGCAAGTTGTGATAGCGTCGCTGGTTTGTTTCTTTTTCTTGGTATAGTGTTCGCGCAGAAAATAGTATCAATAGTTGTAGAGTTGTCRAAATGTGCCGCCATAGAACAATAGAATATGTGTATAATATAGCGCATGCACTTCGTGAAGTATACGGTTCGGCCCCGGGGGGAAAGGAGCGAGCCGGGAAGAGGCCCATGTGTGGCCTCTGTTGGACGGCGTCGCCCCCTTTCTGTTTCTTCGTTGGCTTTGGTTCTGTTCTGTTCTGTTCTGTTCTGTTTTGTTCGCTCGCTCGTTCTTCGCTTTTGGTCTCCCGGGGTTCGTTGGCAGCCACCTAGTCTTTCGTGGCTGGAAAGTTCGCTGCTGCCGACACCTGCCCGGATCGCTCGCTCGCTAGCGAAGCGCGACAATGGGAGAGCACGACATCATGGCCGYGCCGCTGTTGCTGCCAAAGTGGCCCTCCCTCCCCKGCTGCGACCCGCTGTCGCCCCCCGAGGGATGGTAGTAGATCTCGCCGTGGAGGTGGTCGCTCCGGCCGCTGCCGGAAACCACCAGCGAGGCCTCGACCCGGCGCCGAAAGTCGGCAACGCGGGGATCCTCCCCGCGGTTCTTGCGGAACCCGTCGTCGTCGTCGTCGTCGCCGTCGTCGCTCTTGGGAGAGGGCGAGTACCGAAAGTTGTTCGAGTTGTTGCAGCTGCTGTTGCTCGTGTCGCCGCAATCGGGCGTGTCCCTCCCGCCGTTGCTTGCCGTCCTCGCCCCCTGCGCGCTCTTTTGCGTGTGGACGCTCTGGCTCTGACAGTCGATCGAGGACACCATGGACTCGTTACGCGTCGGGATGCTCGAGTTGGCCATGCTGTCCCCCCGCTTGAGGCTGGCGGTCTCCCGGTCCCCAAGGGTGGTTTCGGCCATGGAGTGAATGCACGAGTTAATCGTCGACATGCTCATGTCGGCAATGCTCGCGGGGCTGGTGGGGGGGTTGTACGAGTTTGATCGGCAGCGCTGCTGGATCTCGTCGTGGGGATTCGTGGGGCTGTTGACGTCGGATTCCACCTCCGCCTCCTCCATGTGGCTGAGGTGGCCGGCGTCTTCGGCTCCCTTTTGGATGGCCAAGAGACGCTCCATGGTTTTTCGAAAGAGGGCTCGGTCGTGGGAGTTTCGGGCCCCGAGGCCGAGGCGATCCGAGCACGTCTCGAGAAAGACGCGCCTGTGGTGGTCCGAGAAGCAGCCGCTCCCCCTCAGGTGACTCGCGTCAAAGCCGGCCATCATCGAGGTTTCCATCGCGCTGCTCAGGGAGTCCATGGCGGTGCAAATGGCCGCCAGGGCAATCGTGCTCGAGGGAACCTGATGCTCCACGAAAAAGACATCGCAGACGGAGAGCTCGGCCAGGTACATGGCGGCCTCAAAGAGATCGTCGCGGATGCTCTTCTTGATGCCCTCGATGGGATCCTCTCGCGTTGTTGGAATCAGCTCTAGCAGCATGTTTATCAGGGCAAAGAGAGTCGGGGGGTGAAGCTTCCACTCCAGTGCCCCGAGGAGTTGCTTTTCCATCTCCAGGATCGAGTCGGGACCGAACTGTCCCCTAGAGAGCGTCGCTAGGCTCAGCAGGGTGGGAATCTTGTAGTGCTGGCTTTCTAGGGGCCCCATTTCCGGGTCGTAGTCGTTGTGGTTCGTGAGATGCACCTTGGTAGCGAGATGCAGCGTGCCCAGAGAAGCGAGCAGCGCCAGATCTCCCGATTTCGTCTTGCCGTCGGTCTTGGTRTCCTTGGCCTTGTTCTTGCTGTTGGCGTTGATGTTGCCGTTGATGTTGCCCATGGCGCTGTCTTCTTCCGCCGTGCTCAGGGTCGCCATGAAGCGATCAAAGTAGTTGATCGAGATGGAAACGATTTCCCTCGGCAGCTTGTAGTGGTCCACAACGTTGTAGGACCACTGGCAGATCTTTTCCCTCCAGGCGGCGTGGATGACGTTCTGCTGGCGGGGAAGCCCGCAGCCGGGCCGGTCTACCTCCGGTGGAAAGTAGCTGTCCAGGCAATAGTTCTTGGACTCGAGAGAGATCTTCGCGGCGAGGGCGTCGAGAAGGGCTTCCCGGCTTTCCAGGTACGGAGAGACGTCCGAGCTTCTGCTTCCGCGGCTGGAGGCACTGTGGGGAGACGTCTGCCGGTGCGAACACGCATTGCTGTGGAGTTGGTGCGGGTGGGAGTGGTGCGGATCGTAGTCCTGATCCGGCGAGGGGGCGTTCTCTTGGGTTCGGTGCGAGTGGTGCGATCGGATTGGTTCGTGTGGGTACCGTTGGTGGTCCGGGTGCTGGTAGTGATAGTGAGAAGGGTAGTTCTGGCTTTCGTAGTGTGGATGGTGTGGTTCTTGGTGTGGGTGCGGGTGGGAGTGCGGGTGCGGGTGCGAGTGTTGTGGGTGGTACTGGTAGTGGTGCTGTTGGTGCTGGTGTYGATGCTGTTGTTGCCGATGCTGCTGTTGCTGCTGCTGTTCGTGCTGTAGATCCTGGTAGTACAGGCTGCTCATAGTGGAGGATTTGTGTCCAGCTGGAAGAGCAATGCCGGGGTCGATAACGGTGTTGTGTTGGRTGGCGCTGGGCTCAATCGGTGGATGGACAGAGGGACGGTGGATCCGTTCTGGAACAGAGCGGCGCAACGGGTATCGAAAGACGGCTRACAGAGCCAACAAAAACAAACAAAACTCGGAGTGGATGGTTCGAGAACCGGTTCATCGAAGGATAGCTCGAGGGACGGGTCAGTTGCGGGGGAGCAACTTCAAGGGTGTCTGGTTTGTTTTCGCAAGTGGATTGGCAATGGGATGGGACTGTGTGCCAACAGGGAGGAGCTGCCTGGTTTCTATGGGCGATCGAACCGTTTTGTGTTTCGAGTGCTCGCACAGTACGGTACTGTATTGGAAGATCCTATCGGTGCGGGATAAATCTTTCGTTATCGGTTGGCTCTTGTGTTGTCCCTAAGGTCCTTGTGTGTCTTTGGCAATGCTAGTTGTCAAGATCTGATGGGATATCTTCTATACTTCTATTGCAGAGGTGGGAACTATGGTAGATGTCTTCTACTTCCGGTGGTTCTGTGGTGACAGCTGAGACTCGATGGTTGGTTCGAGAGGGAACGGTACTTGCGAGGATAAGGTGAACAGATTTTCCTTTCGGTCCAGTGCCGTATTGCACAGTAACAAAAAACGGAACCACGGTGCCGAGCAACTCTGGCGAGAAGTATACCGGTACGGGTTGGGAGTACCAGTACAAGAGCTCTCGTACGGTACGTACCGGGGCCCAATGTTGAATTTTCTGGAAATTTCGCTGGGCCGGAAAATTTCCGCCGCGGTGGTAGTAGCACTTGTTCCACCAACCGCGAGTCCTTCGGCGGCATTGTACTGAGTGGAAACCAACCGAAAAATTTAGCTCCCAGCGCAGATAGAACACAACGATAAATAAAACCGTGCAGTGGTCAAATTCGCTTTCCCACGAGGGTAGTTGGCAAGTTTCCAGTAGCAAGCGACTAAGTACAACTCGTTTTTGGTAGGAGTCGCACATCATGTGACACACATGGAGAGGAATCAGTAACCAAATCACGATGAGATTCTTGAAGATCGTCACACAAATGACAACCGGTTTTTATAATTATGGAAGGGGACGAAACACTAATCAACTCTCGGCACGTGGTTCACTTCGAGAGGCAAGAAGGAATCCTATTGGTGCAAGGGACTCGATGCGCGAGCATGACCGCGTACCACCGAACCAAAAACCTAGTCGTGTTGTTGTTACCCATTTGTGTTATCAATTGCAGTTAGAGGCGTTTCGTGAGTCGGGGGAGAAACAACAAAACCTTGGTACTGGAAAGTACCAGTAAATTTCTTTTTAGGAACCTTGGATGCTTTCGGGCGCGCCCGTGCCACGGCAAAGGGCTGGGGAGTCGTGAATCCAAAAATACGTTCTTGGTTCCTGCGTGCGTACGTACGATACTACCCTTCCGTTGCGTTGGCTGCCAATCATACCCTTAATAAGAAAGATCCCATTCTCCGCAGAAGGTTCGGTCTTCGGAAGGAATCGCTTCCCATAGGCTATTYTTATAGCAGGGAATCTTCGGTGGGTACGAAATAAATCGCACGCGGACGGGACGGAATGACGCAATCCCCGTCCTTCAATCGCAATCCCCGTCCTTCAATCAAAATCGTTCCCCGACCCCGACAAGCAAGGGCGTGCAGCGGGCCCCCCACGCKACGGGACGAGAGGTGTCACGGTCCGGGGCGTGACGCATCGCTTCGGTTTTGAGRCCGTTAAGTGAACAGATACCACGATAGACGTTGCGTACATGTAACTATTGGGTTGCCTTTCGTACTAMGCAGGGACCTAGCCTACCGTTTTGTTTTTAGTGCCTCTCCGCGTTTCGCAACGTCGATGTCACCGGGTGACGTCCGGATCCCAGAGAATCCCTCCCTGCCTCCAGAAAACCCCTTCTCCGKGTCCAATGAGATCCTCGCTTTCGCAGCCGTWCGGTTCCTACSGTACKGTACAGCCTCCCCAAACCAAACACGGTCGTCTTCGTTCCGTCGACGCTTTGCGTCATCTGTCAAAGACCGGGACAGAGAGTGACGCACGTCGTGGAGATGGTGCAGGGAATGGATCGGTGGCTTCGTGGAAGCTCCCMTTGACGCTTCGTTGAAGCTTCCCTTGCCGGTTCTGTTCTGTTCTGTTGTTCCGTCCCGGACAAGACAAGACAAGACAAAACAAAGCATGCACTTTCCCTCAAGAACGCGGAGTCGCACCCTTCGGAACAACTGTGACGGACCGATTATCTTCGGTTCCACGGCGTTGGCGCCGTCGTGGGATATTGCGGTTTGATTGGTTCGTGGTCTCGAGTGGAACCTATGGCATCGGGGAGGCGTCTCTCCCCGATGCAAAAGCGGCACCACCGAGCCATCGAAAAAAAATAAGGCAAAGCGAGCTAGGTCGCTAGGGATTCGTGTCGGGGGGGACCCGGCCACGGGCAGCGAGGCTTCTTTTCTTTGTGTTGCGGCTTTTTTCTTTCGCAGCCGCAGTCGCAGCTACCACTAGCAGAACGAACGAAGGAAGGAAATCGCAACACAACGCCAAGAGATGCCCTTACTAGAATAACGATGATAGTACTGCCGTGCTAGAACCGATGTGGGGGGCGAATCTGCTCCGGCTACCACGGCACGATGCAGTGCTGTTTTCGTTTCTTGTGATCATAGCAGTACTTCTGGCATGGCATTCGTTCGAAGAAGACGGAACTGCATTGGTTCAAACCTACAAGAATTTCTAGTAGTTTCGAAAAAGAGATTTGGTCACGCAAGTGAATGATTTGTCGTCATGGATGTTTGAAAGAGATGTACTACTYGGAAAGCCGATTTATCGAGGAAGCTCGTCAGGTTTCTGCAACCTGCTTTGAGAGTGGACAACTAGTAGGTCAGTTGCAATATGTACTACTAGTACTATCTAAAACAACGCACCATTCATATTGATTTATTCAYGAAGGTGTTCATTGAAATGATAGTAGTACAACTTCTTCAGTTCTGCAGAAATAATTTTGAATAGCTTTCGCACATTGAAAACGCTTGTAAAACCTCCTGTTTTGTAGCTGCAGTGGGGACAAAACTCCTTTCAGCAGTACAATTGGTAGATCATGATTCCCGTGGTCTCTATGACCAACAAGTAACAAGCAGTACACATACCATGCCACACAATTGCAATTAGTCCACACTAGAAGAAGCAAGTTGTTTGATAGCTTATCCTTGTGATTAAACCCTACCGAGTGGTTTTTCGTTTTGACTTCTTGAAGGCAATCAATGTACATAGATAACATGGATGTTTCTTTCACTTTGGGAAATTCTTTGGGGAAGTTCTCCATGTATTCTTGTGTATACAAACACCATGGTGCTCAGGGATACATTATGTTGTCAACATTTTAGCACTGCAGTGGAACTAGCAGCAGTGCTTGTGACACACCACATTGGCTTTTACTGGAGGAATTTTGAATTGTTTTGAATCATACTACACAAAACTACTCATATACCCTACCAGTAMTATGATGATTGTTGTCTATTGTGACTCACAAATCCTTACCAGCTAATGCAAGATCCCACTCTGCAAGACAACCTCACTCCAACCGCAGCACATCCCTTTTTCAAATCATGTTTCTAGCACTCAGACTACCTCCACTCRCAAGTTCAACAATTCTACTAGTATGAACTTGRCTCATGTACCATTACTATGATTATCTCCAACAAAACGTAAAACCCATCCATGATAACTTTGTTGGATCGATCAGTGATCTTCAGCAAATTCTAGCTAGATAGAATTATTGCTGCCTGCTCTCCTGCCTCAAGTCATCATTAGACTGCTACTGCTACTAGCTCCTGACCTGCACACAGAACTGTGAAGTGTCCAGCATGATCAATCCCAAGTTATTCTGTTACTAATACAAACAATCAATCCATTCTCCTTCACTTGATTGAATGACATTAAATCAAGTTTTATCAATCCAGCATTGTGAACTTTCCTGCAGTCACAAATTAAATGAACTACTTCTTCCCTCAATTTTAATGACTTGGATGTGAGCAGTAGAAATCACAGAAGCTGTTTTAGAGAGTGAAGAAAGCACATGAGGAAATATGGATGTGATTGGTTGGGGCCAACAACAGAAGCATGCGGAGATGGCATTGAGCACATATTCACAAGAAATAGTAGTGCTACACAGCTGTTTGTTTTTATTTCTACAAAACAGTGGTTCTTGGGTACAACAACCTAACAGGTTCCTTGGCCAAATGATGGTTTGTTTTCCTCGACCAAGCAGACAATTCAGGGCAATTTGTTGCGCAAGTTTCTACCATTATGGGTTTGTGCTTTCCAATCAGACCTGCTTCTTCGAAACGAAATACAAATTACAATGGCAGGCCTGATACATTGAGCTACTATCCAATCTAGTTTTGGTTGGTTCTCGTGTGATCGATCCTGCTGGAAAAAGAGACCAACAATTGACAATTCATATGATCAACAGCAAAGATGCACATCCTAATCGAGTCGCAATCGAATGTTTTACTGTTGATTTTAGTATGTCCGAGAAAAACAATTGGTAGAAAGAAAGCACCATGGTAGAATGAAGTAATAGTACATAACTAGGTATCGGTCACTGTTGAGTTTTGGTGCATCACTCCGCTTCAATCTTCAAAACATGTGCAAACCTTTTTCTACATAATTAACGTGAGGAGAGTGTTGTTGTAGATATTATTCCCGGTGCTTCAAAACTTCCATTGGCGATTCGGTACCGCGATGACTTTGGTCTTTGGTGTCTACGAAAAAACTTCGAAAGCAGTATCGCAACAGCACCATCTCACTTTTTCATAGACTTCGAGATCCTCTTTTGTTTCTTCTCTTCTTGATGCGCAAAAATGGGGCCCGCCGCCTTCATGATTGTCGTCCAGTCGTGGTACGTGAAAATCGAGAGCACCAGGAGGAATCCAAGAAAGGGTATCCGGTACCTCTTCTCGACCCTGTCCACCGCGGTAAAGATCAGCAGCAAAATGAAAAGGACCAGGCTCAGAAGGTACATCGAGAAGGCCCGCATCCGATACACCGCCGTGAGCTCGTAAAAGGTCTCGTAGATGTGGACCCTTCCGGTCCCCACCGCGGTACGTCCGTAGGTCGAGCTGAGGGAAAATACGACCGTCGCATAGATACCACTGAGGGAGCAAATGGCGCAGATGAACACCCATGCGTTGTGAAAACCCCAGAATTTGTCCTCGAGGTTTGCTTCGAACAGTGCCGCAAAGGATGCCGTGGCGGTTAGAACGCTCACCACGATGTAGGAGTCGAAGGAATCAAGGAGGGATTCGGCCCCCTCCTCCTCAAACAATTCCTCTTCGTTCTCGGGTGACCCGGGCATGCTGCTGAAAAACGCACTCTTCGAAATGCTACTATCTCTTCTTCTGGAAACACTTGCAGTTCCGCGGATCGACATGGTTTGGGGCGATTCGTTGACAATGGCTGCGCTCCAGGTGATTGCGCGGATGAATGCACGGGTGTTGCGTTCGTGAAAAAAMGGAKTGTTCGAGGCGCAAAGCAAGAATGAGGGACAAGTATGAATACACGAATGCTGGCTCTGAAATATCGATTTGCAGCGACGGGGCCATGGCGCGTACCGTTCTAATTACGTATCACTCTGATGTTTGGTGTGAATATTGTTAGAGAAAACAATATTTTTCTCTATCCTGCTGTCGATGTATGTCGATTACAAGTTCCTAGTTATCTTGAATACTTCTACTTCAGCGCGTTGCTGTTTCCGGGGACTTCACCTTCGACCATAAACCACTCAATACGATCGCGAAAATGGCACAACATCGAGAATTGTCCCCRATAAAAATCAACGACACRAGYGATGCGAGTGACATAATTGATTTGGAAATTGTCGTGGGGCTATGATAGTATGATGAGAGGAAGGGACCAAAACAGTACAGTACGACCATACCGTTTAAYTCTCGATTCTCGATACTGTTACCGTTGTTCCTACGTACGTAGTAGTATCGTACTTCGTACTCTATTTTAGCATTATGGCGTATGTACGGTACGTACTCGTAGTGTTACTAATCTATTTACATTACACATTACCTGCCTACATCCGAATGGAGACCACTCGTTGTCTGTCCGTATGTCATCCTTCGGTGGAGATTGGAGATTGGGGATAGAGTTGCTTGTATGACACCATACGATACGTATGTAATACTATGTGCCGTAAGACATGCGACATTTCCAACACGGAGGGAAACAAGAGAACAGAAAACATACCAGGTGAGGCGCGGGCTTTTGGGGGAGATCCGCCGTCTATCAACCATCGAAATTCCTCCAACAAATTACACGAACACATCCCCACGGTACAGCAATCAAAGGAAGGCCAAAGCAAAATCAGGCCTATTCAGAAACTGGAGCAAGCTRCAGTATCGTACACTTGACTGATACCTTGGACACAAAGGACAGAGATAAAAGCAACAACCACCTCAGCAACCATGACGGCAGAGGAAGAACCCAAAAAGGAAGAATCTCCCTCAAAACCAGAGGAGGAGGAGGACGACGACAACGAGGAAGGCGAGGACGAGACTGAGGAGGCCGGGGCCGAGGGAGCCGCCAAGAAGAAAAAGCGCAAAAAGAAAAAGAAGAAAAAGAAAAAAACCGGCGGTGTGGGGGCACTACAGATCAAGGAACCCGTCACGAAGCCCCCGCACCTGGGTCTGAAGGACACGGCCTTTACGGATTTCGCGGTCAAGTACGGACAAACGGCCCCCGAGCCGACGATCCCGGTGGCCGATCTCTTTCGGGGCAAGCAGTACCCCAAGGGAGAAATCCAGCCCCACCTATTAGAGAGCCAGACTTACCGGGAGAACTCGGACGAATGCCGGGCCAGGGAGCGCATCCAGGAGGATCTGTACGGCAAGGTCCGGTGGGGTTCCGAGGTCCACCGGCAGGTTCGGAACTACGCCCAGTCCCTGTGCAAGCCGGGCGTCAAGCTGGCCGATCTGTGCAGGCAGCTGGAAAACAAGAACCGCGAGCTCGTTCAGGAAGCCGGCCTCGAGCGGGGCATCGGCTTTCCGACGGGCTGCTCCCTGAACCACGTCGCCGCCCACTACACACCCAATCCGGGGGACGACACCGTTCTGACGTACGACGACGTTATGAAGATCGACTTTGGGGTTCAGATCGAGGGCCGGATCATCGATTCGGCGTTCACCGTGAGCTTCAACCCCCGGTACGATCCGTTGCTGGAGGCCGTTAAGTGCGCCACCGACGAGGGGATAAAGCAATCCGGGATCGACGTTCGGTTGTGCGACATCGGAGAGGCCATCCAGGAAGTCATGGAGAGCTACGAGGTCGAGCTGGACGGCACCACCTTTCCGGTTAAGTGCTGCCGCAACCTCAACGGTCACTCCATCGCCCCCTACCAGATCCACGCCGGGAAATCGGTCCCCATCGTCAAGGGAGGCTGCGAGGAATCCCTCAAGATGGAGGAGGGCGAGATCTACGCCATCGAAACCTTTGGAAGCACGGGCCGGGGCTATGTCGTGGAGGACATGGAGTGCAGCCACTACATGAAGAATTTCCACGCGCCGCACGTTCCCCTGCGGATGCARTCCTCCAAGCGGCTCCTGTCGCACATCAACAAGACCTTTGGGACACTGGCCTTTTGTCGCCGCTGGCTAGARCGCGAGGACGGTGGCTCGGCGACCATCAACGGACAGAACGGAAAGCAAACCAAGTACATGGGTGCCCTGAAAAACCTCTGCGATGTGGTGCGTGCGATKCTGATTGTTTTCTTGTTTTCGTTTCGCTTCGTTTCTGTGCACTGAATTCCTTGCCGTGCAACATATTCATGTATGATTCCTGGGGACGATTTTTTGCTCACCGGATTTCTTTTTCCCGCCATGTTTTGTTTCCTGCCTATTCCAAATAATGACAGGGCATTGTCCAAGCGTACCCTCCGCTGTGCGATGTTAAGGGGTGCTACACGGCTCAATACGAACACACCATCATGATGAGACCGACCTGTAAGGAAGTTGTCAGCCGAGGTGATGACTACTAGAACAGCTATTGTTGATAAATTCAATAAGATGCGATCGGATGCAGGCGAATGTTTGCAAAACGATGTATCGTAACATCGAAATACGCTTTTWAAATCACTGCATACCAACTAATTACCCTATACAATTAATTTGATGAACGGCAACACCAGACTCGTCGGTACAGAGTTGTTGTCTACCGGTTGCGAATCATGCGGAATCTGTCTCTCGTTTATGGCGTTCCGCTGTTTCGAGCCTAATCATACATAGACGATTGTGTTCTGTTGTATCTGTTTGCTATCGTGGTTTTTCATCTCATCTCGGGAATTTTTGGTGCTTGCTGTAGAATGATTCGAGTTTATGATACGATTTCTTTGTGCGAAAGGGGACGGAAGGTCCCATCMAAACCGATTGCCACGCCCGCGCTGCCGCTCCCGGAACCCCTTTCCCCGCATCACTGCGGATTGTCTCGGGCCGTTGGCCGACCCATCCGTTGCCGCTTCGCGGCCGCCGGTTCGTTGGTTTCGCTTTCGCCGCTGGCCGTTCGGCTCCGATCGGAGCAGCGGGGGACTCCCCCCCCCGCCGCGTTCTCGGCAAGCAGCGACCGGACCCAGGGGTGGTCCCGACCGAGGCTCGTTGCCAACAGCCTTAGMCCGCGGTCTCGCTCCACCCCCGCGTCGTCCCCGTGGAGCCGCCGGTCCCTGCCGTGCTCGCCGCGGCGGAGGAGGATGCTCGAAGCGTTCTCCAGGTGCTGCGTGCCGAGCGCCACCGGATCGAAGAGCTGCCGTATCGCCGAAACCTTCCGAAAGAAGCGCAGGTGGCGATCCCTGGATTCGGCCGAGAGTTCCGTGGTGAGGGAGGAATCCGGGCACGGATCCCCCTCCTCGTTTTTGGTGTTGTCTTCGCCCTCGGTTTTGCCGTCACCGAGTCGGGGTTGCTGGGTGGTGGTGGAGTCGGTGGTGCCTCCGCATTGGCGTTTGTTCCTCTGCCGAAGCATCAGCACGGCATCCAGGGCCGCCGCGGCGAGGCGGTCGGACTCGATGCTCACCTCGTGGGACTCGGGCAGGTTTTGGTTCTGGATCCCCCGCTCGGTCATGGCGATCACCCCCAGGATTTCCTGCAGGGATTCTTCGTGTTCCTTCGCCTCCGGCGAGACCACCGCGGCTGCCGTGGTAGTGGTTCCCGCTGCGGTTGCTGACCGGGTGATCCCGCGCCCCAGCTCCAGGAGCCGGTCGTTCAGACCGAACTGGATCTCCCGGATCGCGTCGATCGGTGACGCTCCGACACCGTCGTAGTCGTAGCTTTGTGGGAGCGTCAATCGATCGCCGGTGTTCTTTTCCCGAAGTTTCCCGTCGTTTCCTTTTTCGTTTTTGATAGATTCCCGGGCCTCCGCTGGCCGAAGGCAAGCCCGGCACCGGCACCAAAATCCGTAGCTTTGTCTCAGTCTCTCCCGTCGTTCTTGGGTCGAGAGTCCCGAGAGCGGCAGGTAGCTGAGCGTGATTTCTTCCCCCTTGCGGACCGACCGCAGCAGGTGGACCCTTGCGCACAACCCTCTCCTGCCGACGCGCCGGACGGCTGCTTCGGGTGCCGGCACGGAAGACGACGAGAAGGAGGACAGATACGCGTTTGGCACGCAGGAATGGTTGTAAAAGGAATGCCCGGCGAAGATGGCCCGGCCCAGGCTCTGCCGTCCGAGCGGGAGGGAGGGGTCGACGATCGCGTGCGAGCACCCCAGAACCCTCCCAAGGGCCGACCGCACCAGGTCCTTTGTGAAGAGCGGCCCGTTTCCGCAACCGGTGCCGCTGGCAGACCGGGCCGCGTCCAGGGCCCCCGCCAGAACCACCGCGATGCTCTCGTAGGGACCCTCCAGCAGCGGAAGGGAGTGCTCGTGGAGGAGCGAGAGGTCCTCCCAGAGATCGTCGTCGCGGGGAGGAGGACAAGCCGGCGGACCACCACCACCACCCCCTTGGTTCGGGGGGGATGGCAGCGCACCGTTTCGGTGCATCGAAACGAGGCGGAGCGCCAGGAGCGCCGCCGACGACCCAAAGACGGCCCCGATCGCTTGGTTGGTGGCGTCCTCCTCGGGGGAGAGGGCCGGTTCGCCGTTCCCGCGCGGCTCCGTGAGGGAGGCCACCAGGCACCGAACCGCCAGGCATTCCAGCGGACGCTCGACGTGCCGCGCCCGGTGCAGGCCTTCGCAGTCCGGACAGTATCCCACGAACGGGTTCCCGAATGGGTCCCGGCAGGAAGGACACACCGAAAACCCCTTCCCTCTTCGGGCGCAGCAGTAGGAACAGTAGTTGCTCCGGTCTTCCGGGCCTTTCATTACAAAGCCTTCCGAAAAACACGACAGGATGCCGGTCCCTTCCGCGAGATCTCGGTCCGCGGTCACGAATATTCCGGGTTCGGATTCGTTCGTATCGCCATCGCCATCGATGTTGCCGTCGCCGTTGCCATTTCCATTGCCATTTCCTTGCTKCTCTGCAACCGTCGCTCGGATTGTGGAGAGGACCCGAGGCGAACCGCTTTTGTCATCCTTCTCTGGGGAATGATTCTGCTGCTGCTGCAGACGGAGCAGGAGGTGATTCACCGAGTCAAGTTTTTTTTTATCCGCGGTGAACGAGCTACTTGCATCGGACATTTTTTTCTTGTTGCGGTACAAAATTGGACAGTTAGGACAGTAGTATGCCTTGCCTTTTCACATCGTGGACCAATCTTTGAGGTCCAAGACGAAAGCAAAACGCGGGTGCTGTTTGCGTTTCGATTGTGTTTGTTCCCGATCGATCTGTTTGTTCAGATTGTGGGGCTTTGATTTTGTGGGATGCCAACAGTCACCATCACATCAATCGATCCATCAATCAATCCAACCGAATGAACCAACTTAGGGTTGGAGTTAATCGCCATTACGTGGCCCTCCACCGTACGAGTACTCGTACTCGTATTTACCACTGTAGTGTACGTACTGTACGTCGTTGTACTTGAGCCACAAGCGATGTACGGTACTAGTATGTACGGGTACCGTACCTGCCGTACCTCCTTAAAATATTAATGGCACTACGGACAGAATGTTAGGTACAGCAAGCCGCTGCGCGTGGTACTCGTTCTAGCAACAGCACTCGTACGAGTTTTAGTACTACAACGTACGTAGTAGGGTATGTTGTTTCCTCTGCCCCCTTCAACGGTATTGAACAACGTCAACATCACTAGCAGCAGCAGCAGAAGCAGCAGCAGCAGCAGCCAAACCACAAACGATGGCGTCCGTGTCTACCCGAGCCAAAGCTCTCGTTCCCCTCCTCCGGCGGTCGGCAACCAGCTCCCGGGCCTCCACGAGGGCGATGAGGGGCGGCATGTCGCCCCCCATGCCCGCCATTGCCCGCATCCCGGCCCCTACCGAAAACCTCGTGGAAAACCACGATTGCCTGTTCGACGACGCCTGCGCCCCCGAGCTGGCCCTCGACTTTGATTCCCAGAACGTTTCGACGGGAGAGGGGCTCTTCTCGTGGTTMCTCGCCATTGGTGCCTACGTCTCGCTCTTCAACGTCATCAAGTACGTCGGCCAGCCGGAGGTCGAGAACCCGGCGGTGTCGCGTGCCGAGTCGGACGACATTTGCATCCCCGTCGAACACCACGAATAAGAAGGAGGTGCCGCGACACGGCATGCATCCACCAAAGAGAAAGCGAACAAGGAACTATCCCAGCGAGCGAGGGAGTGTGCGACGGCACATCAATGACTAAGACGAAGCGAAGCGAAACGCAGCATAATACAGTACCAAGTACTACTACGTAGTGAATTGTAACCAGAGTCCTAGCAGAACACACGATTACCGTGGAATTGAATAGTGGGATCCGGAATTGGAATTGGAAGATCTTCCAACCGAAAACCTCAAACCAAGACGTTCAAGTCAATAGGAGTAAAAGTTAATAATTTCATAGGGTACGTAGTTTCTGAAATAAAAATATTGAGTGATTTTTTTCTTTCATGATTAGTTTATCGTTTTGTATTTAAAATGAATTTGTTCCATGAATTCTCGTTGGTTTGAGGTCACGCTCTCTTGGAAATTCGATCCCAACGGGATCGATTACTGTTTTGCACCGTTGTTGTGCGGAAGCAAAACGGTGTTCGTAAGATTGCGAATGCGTGTGCGTGTGCAATTATTGTGAAGATGGACGCAAGCACCATCGTGCGTTGCGGGCGAAACAAGTCGTTTTGTGCTGTGCCATGCTGTGCCGTGCCGTGCTATGCCTTGCTTTGTCGCCTACACGAAGGACTTCTCCGGTGCAATCTTCGGGTCGTCCTGGAAGACGTGCGGAGGTGGGGCGTTGTCGCTAAAGCCGCTGGTCGAGCCGTTGGACGCCCCGTTGGACGCGGCGTCCGTCACCTGGGCGTCTTCGTCGTCGTGGTATTCCGGCGCAAGATTGCCGCTGAAGATACCGTCGCTGCCGGCCTTGGCGTTCTTGGAGGCTCCGCGGCGGGTGGGGCGGCGGAACTTGTAAAAGACGCCGGCGCACATCAAAAGACTGACGACGACCAGGGCCGTTCCGACCCCGATGATGGTTCCCGACTTCTTGGAGGTCGAGTCCTGGCTGCCAATGGTTGGCCCGGTGAAGCCGTCGTTCTTGCCAAAGGTGGTCACGAAAACGTCCGAGGTGTACTTGTCTTCTTCGTTCTTTCTCTTTTCGCGGTAGAGTTCTCCGGTTGTTTCTCCGTACAAGATGCAATCCCCGTTCAGGGCGGCCTGGACACCGTTGGTGTGGCTGATTCGGTCGGTTCCCGCGGAGCCTACCTGCTTGATCCAACGGGGCTCTCCGTTCGCGGTATCAATCTGGGCGACCCACACATCGTCACCGCCTGCGGATTCGAACTTGGAATCCATGACGCCTCCCTCGTAGACGTTTCCACCCACGTACATGGTAGTCGGGTCCGATTCGATCAGGTGGCAGCCAAAGGCCTCGGTCTTGCCGCCGTTGAGGGTCGTTTTGGACTCGGGGACGGCGTACAACTGGGTAGTCCAAACGATTTCATTCGATTCCACCTTCGACACAAAGGCCGACAGTTTGTCGATGCGGTTCCCGTCCATGCTCTTTTTGGACTTGCCGCTCAAAATGTTGGTGGTGATCTCATCCTGAAGCGTTCCGGCGGGCATAGTTCCGTAGGTCGATCCCACAATAAAATAGCTGTCGTGGTTGCCTATCTCGTTTTTGGGGCCTAAGCAAATGCCGTGGATGAAATCATCGAGGGGTGGATTCATTTCCACCGAGGAAACACGAAGGCTATCCCTAAACTGCGGCTGAACACCATTTGCGAACAAAAAGTTTTGGACAAATCCGTCAAAGTCGTCCAAGCGTTCGACCCCGTTCATCAAGGGTTTGGGAAATCTAAATACTCTGGGACCTCTTCCCTTCAAGTGTCCCACCATTACGGCTATCATATTGTTGGGAACTAGGTTGACCACACCGGTCGGATAGGTTTCGTCGCTGTCTAGTATCGCATCGAACGAAAAGGTCAATTCCATATCGTTCTTCCTCTTATCGTAGGTGAAAAACTGGTGGGAATAGAAATAGTTGCTTCCACGCTTGGCGAATGAATTGTAGGGACGCAGACCGGGTGGCACCATAGTGTTCTTAAAGTTTTGGGCATTGTTGGCGTCACCCGATTCGACGTACTCTTCGGTCAAAAGCGGGTCGTTGCTGCTGACCGAGACAACCATGAGGTGTTCTTGGTTTTGGTAAAACCCAGTTGTCATGGCAATGGGGTACCGAACAGGAACCGGGCTAGTGTCACGGAAATCCTCCGCTTTGGCCGTGTCCAAAGCCGTCGGGTTGATTTTGAGCTCCCAATCGGGATTCGTGCTGCTGCGCTGGAAAGCATTGACGAATCCGTTGATGGTTCCGCTACGAATCTGGGCGTCAGGTTCATCGACGGCACCGATGAAGAGGTAATGGTTCGAGTCATCTCTGTCGTCATACATAATGGAATGGCAACTCAAAACTTCGCGCGGGTCCAGAGAGTCTGGAAGACTGAAAACCTCCACGCCATCATAATGGTTCGACGGAAGTCGGTTTTTTGCACTCGGCGGCAGGGGACTTTCGACGGTCTTCCAATCCTTGATGTCGGACATCGGGATCTCGCCGAGGAAACATCCGGACCGGACCCAATCGTTCTCGCTGTCCGGAAAGTAGGACCCGACCAGGTAGACAGAATTTCTCGTAAAATCGTACACCATGGAACCGGCGTGGGCGGGACCCCAATCGGATTGGATGCCGGAGAATTCCCATTCGCCACGAACACCCTGATAGGTCATGGTCGATCCCGGCAAACTGTTTTTCCCAAGCGCAGAATCGTCGTCAAGTTCAACAGCATCGTCGTCGTCGTCGTCGTCAAAATTGAGGTCGTCATCCTTTTGAGCATCGTCGTCATCGTCATCGTCATCGTCATCGTCAAGCAATGCATCGTCGTCATCGATCATTGCATCGTCGTCATCGATCATTGCATCGTCGTCGTCAATCATTGCATCGTCGTCATCAATCACTGCATCGTCGTCATCGTCGTCATCAAACATTGAAGACGTATGTGTGGGCGGTTCCGTGACTTCGACGTCATCAAACGTTGAAGACGTATGTGTGGGCGGTTCCGTGACTTCGACGTCTACCAAAACTTGGGGAGCGGGTGGAGGCGTATCGGGAATAACCGCGATCGGTGCATTCGTTGGGACCGGAAGAGGGATTGGTGCAGCGGTGGGAACCGGAAGAGGGATTGGTGCATTGGTGGGAACCGGAACGGGGATAGGCACAACGGTTGGAGGAGGCACGGGCGGATTGGTGGGAACCGGAATGGGCACGGGCACGGGTGCAACGGTTGGAGGAGCCACGGGCGTCGCGTTCGGAAGGGGCACGTCTTCGAGGACGTCTGTGAGGGTTGGTTTTGGCGCTTTTGGGGCGTCGTCCGACGACAATTCTGTCGTCAAATCGCTGGAGCTGAACGCTGTCGGTTCGCTGGTAGGAACTGGAGTATCCATGGTTTGTATTGCGTTGCTCTTGTTGTTGTTGTTGGTTCTGTTTTAAGGTTGCGTTTCGTTGGTGATGTCTGGACGTACCGGTAGGTATGCAAATGTCTGTCCTTTAGTCTTGAGAGAACAATACGACTTGCTTGCAGTGTCTGTTCTGGCTGGGCTAGGCTCGCTAACGTATGTTGTGATCTGTAGTATGAAGGCTATCAGTTGCTGTTTTTCTGATATACTTTTCCTGTGTAATGTACTATGAGGACTAATTGGTTCTATCACTTCAGAGACGAAAAAGGGTCACTTCGAATTATGCACGAACGACGTGGAAGTCCGTACTCGTACTTTTTGTTCAGTGTAGCGGTGCCGGTACGAGAGCGAAAAGAATGAGCGGCAAGGCATGTTGTCGTGAGGTACCCGTAGGTAGTCGTACTCGTAACAAACAATGTCTGCAGTACCGGTAGGAGGTCATTTTGAAAAACAAAATTTGGTGAACGGGGTAGAGTATTCCTTCTAAATCGCCCGATTGGTGCGCATCGCATCGAGCGCTGTGTGCCGGAACGTTGAACCTAAGGTACCGTACGGTACCATATCGTAGGCCAAAACTCAGTACAAGTACCGTAGRAACCGACAACGTACCGGGATTGAGCATCTTCGCGTCCCATGACCCCCCCGCATTTAACGGCAGGTAACATTACTGTAGGCTACGCAACGTTAACAGGAGCAAGTATGATGTTGTAGGGCTGCTTGGGGCACCGGAGTAGCACAGAAATAGAAGTAAGCCCTAAATGAAAGAACCTATTCAGAACTGCTATGATTCCTATTTCAACGGTTAGCAATGTATGAAACGAAATTCAAACCATATTCATTCTATTGGTGACGGCTAAGACAATGAACAGAACCACTAAAGAAATGTTAATCGAAGATGAATATCGCAAGTTGCTTCTTCTAGAAGTTTGGAATTCATTTACTACTAGTAGTAGTACTACTCATCCAATTTAAATTCATCCAGTCATTCATTCCACAGTATTTTTACTTAGTTCATGGTATCAACAAGAAGGTTTTCGTTATTTTCGAGCTACACCGTACAACTGAAATCTAACGCCATTTTTGTTCACCAGCATATTCGTAATAGTATTTGTTAATTAGAGGACACTGGGAGTGGTAGGTCTTACTATCCTAAGGTCCGTACCGTATGTACTAATAGTGTTAGGAGTACGTACCGAATTGTCGTTCCCTACTGCTATTACATARAAAATACGATCGTCAGAAGGTTTTTGTACCGTACAGGAAAATATTAATACCATMGTCACGTACGAACTGTACCGTAAGGTCRGGGTGTAAAATTATGACCCAKGAGTTTGTCGAGATCTAGTAGTATCCACTACTAACGTAAGCGGCCCTAGTAGGTAATCGCTCATGCGTGAGTTAGACCTACACCGCATGCAAGCAGAATCTCTACTAACTACTGTMGTACTTAACTACGCATGACAAATAGAATGGAAAATAGAGCACTAAATATGGTGGTTTACTACGAAGTAAAAGGGAATGCTGCAAAGACCAGGAGGAGTGCTTGTTGTACGTGTCTTCGTACTAATGACGACGTATCGGCTGGTGAGGAGAGGCTGGATTGTACATAGATTTGAGCGCAAGGCAAGGTTCTGCCATCACCCTTTGCAGCCTTAGATTTCCCGACGCGAAAAGGCCGATTCGTCTACTGCGCTGGTGATTGCAGTGGTATTGTKAGCAGACTTGCTGCGGTTTATCCCCATGCATGCATTCATCGAAAAGGATTTCTGGATGCGTTTGCCAGATTTCTTGACACGCTTCAAGAAACCTTTTGTGGCGTTTTTCTTCTGCCCCTCCGCTAGGTTTCTGTCGATCTGGGAGTTATCTATGGTGTCACGAGCCACCTCTTCTTGCTTTCTGCGAAGCTCTGCCTCTCGCTTCATTTGGGCCTCGAGTTCGAGTGCTCGAAAGTAGTCCATCAGTTGGCACAGGACTCCATTGAAACCCTCTTTGTGTTCGTTTCGGTAGTCCCGTAGTTGGGAACACCATTTGTGAAGGTAAATCTTCTTAGTGCTGCTGCTTTCTTCAATGGGAAGTTCTCTGCTGGTTCCCTCTTCGAACATATGGTTAGCGACGATTACCTTAGAATAACCCTTCAGCTTCGTACACTTTCCGCCGCATTCGGAACATCGTCGATCTTTGAAGATGGCAGAGTATGGATTGGAGAACGAAAATGCGGCTTTGTTCTTGGGCTCTTCCTCGCCGGCATCAGCACTACTGTTTCTTCTTTTTCCCATCATGCCAATGCAGGGGTTGAAATCTAGCAACCTCTCCAGCACGGAAGAGGACGAGGTGTCTTCCGAATCGAGAGAAGACATGGCCGTGACGGGATGCTCCATCGAATTGGTGTTGCTACTGGTGCCGGAAGGCGCCATCTTGTTAGATCCAATCGCATTTGGCACATTGAGGAGAGGATCCAGGGGGTGAAAGCTGAGAACAACTTTGGATTCGAAGTGGTCTTCTTGATGGGTAGCGTAGGGAGGCATGCTGACTGATTTTCTTTTGTGCTTCGGTTCGGACAGAGCGGATTACTTTTTGAAGCGTTTGGGATATAACTTCACTGGAATTGTGAGAGAAGAGTTCGGCGATTAGTAATAGCCAAAAATCGCACTTGCTCATCTCAGGTTTTGCAGGATTCCTTGCTGCYGCTACCACCACAGCGATGTTTTGATGTTGCGTCCCCTGAACATCCTGTGCTCTCTTCGTGTTCTACAAAATTCTACAAAAATGCACGATCGGTTCAAGTCGATGGATTCAGACGTGCGCGACCATAAATTTGTAAAAGATCCGTTCAAAAAATCTTCCTCTATGGTGAGTCTTTTTGCGACCAAAGTGTGGACCAGTCGTGGATAGTTTTTCTCTACTTCGCTGCTTTGGGTAGTCCCAGATCGAAGACGCATTCGGAAGCAAAGAACATTCATCTCACGTCGATTGGAAAGAATTCCGAGAAGAAATGGAAWKCTAACTCCAATCAACATGGAAAGGAAGAACCAATAGTYGGATRWTCAATGGATGTAGTACCAAACAAGCGACTGCGACWGCCGTTTGATGCCTGCGTAAGGTAGGTAGCGATTTCTATCACTCGAATCCAAACATGAACACGGCGAAACAAACAGAGGACCGGCCGCTTCTATGGTGGCACATACCATCGCGRCAACGCGTACGAAAGAAGCGCTGTAAATATAATAGGAGATGACATGACTGACTGGCTTTGATAGTCTTGGGACGAATCGAATGTAATCAAATCGAATTGACACCTATTGTTTCCAGAATGGCATTTGGAAAGAGAAGCCAAATCAGAAGGCGGTGTCGGGTATGCGCCTGAATCTCAATCCGTGTCTTTTAAGGTTGAAGAAAGGAGTGGCATGAAGATCTAAACGTAATACAAGTTGAACGTAAAATAATGCCTAGAAGTAGGTTTAATTAGTTACATATTAAGTGGAGTAGGTTGACATTTTCAAACAGATGTTTCTGCATCTTACTGTATACGTCATCGTGTCTGCAAGAATCTGTCGTCGAAAAATTGAAAACAAATTTATTGTTTGGATTGAATTGCTCACCTACCTCGCTGGTCAGCTTGGTACTAGCTGCTTTAGCGACGTGCCTGAGTCTGTGTAAATATCAAATTTGGCTCGAATACTGCCAATGCACTGACTATCGTGCTTGGATCGATCCACTGGAATGTGCCTATGCGTACGATTAAATTTTGGATGCATTRGTCTCTGTGTCCTCACTTCATCCTTTGGTTTCTACCACTGCCGGTAAGCCATGGAAGGGGCATCATGCGTTCCATGACAGATCCGTGCTCATTTGTGAAGGAGGTGTCCAATTCTGCTCCAGTTTCAATCTCAAAATTGTCATTGTCGATATCGTCGCCRATGGAGRCACTGTCAAGTATGTTTGTTTGCTGATTGTGTTTATCCATCTTGTCAGTCTCTGGAACGGTCATCTTTGACTGCGGTGTTTCAATCGATGTGTGAGGGTTTGAATTATTGGCGTTAATATTGAACATWTTTTTTGTTTTGAGACCCGCAAAAAGATCCTYCGAAAATTCCGGTGCTTCCATGACAAATTCATAACTCGATTGGTCACCAGTAGCAGACTCAGGTTGGAAAAAATCATCCCGTGGAGATTTAGGGGGGCTGCTTACACTACTTGCACTGCTAGCCCTGCTACTAGTCCGAGATCGTCGAGATGGAGTCAAGCACCCGCCAGAAGCATCGTAAGAACTGCCATCGTCGTCCTGGGAATAATCTTCGTCTTCGCCACCTGATTCGGAGTCGCACTCGGATTCGCTTTCGGAAATCATTGGCATCTCTGAAATGTTGTCTCTACTATTGATGCGTTGCAAAGACATGACTTTTTTCTTTCTCCTTTTCTTCTTTTTCCTTGGTTTTTTGAGTTGCTTSGAAMCTTCTCGTTTCACCACGTTTGGACGCGGAGGTAAACCAGTGATGGATCGATCTGAGAAATCCGAAGTTGCAGAAATACTTTTCAATGATGTCGACGAAGAAGACGATGATATCGTGTCCGATGAGGCTGTTGYGGAGATTACATCCTCAGGATTACCATTGCTGTTACTACTACTTTTGGAGAGCTGATCATGACTTGATTGCGWAGTTTCGGTTCTTACGATCCCGATTTCAATATCTGTTGACTGCTTCATGCCTCGCACGACCGCTTGGCTTTTTTCTTGGTGGTCACGTGCGCCTCGAGCTCTTTTTCGATCACGATTGTAATATCTGCGGGTACAATACCAAACCACAAACACGATGCAAGCTGTTGCGATAGGAATGATAATACTGGCGAAAAGCGAGTTAGATTTGTCTTTTGCTGTCGTTCCAATAGAGTCGCTGCTGTCTTCRACGTTCTCGGGTCCAAAAGAGATGGGACCATTGGATTCCTGACTGCTATTAGATGGGGGTTGGGTTAGGGAAGATGCTTCCTGGACAGAACTCCATTYCAGCCCAAAAATATCTTCAACAAAAAGTTGCGATGCGTCCAAGGCGATTTGGTTGTGGACAATAGACTGGATGTATTCTTCGATCAGGTTGCTTTCGCCCGTGGTACCGCGGAATCGAACTTCTAGAGTGATTTCCGCCGTGAAGCATTGACTTTCACTTTCATCGGAATGGATCATTTCGCTGGAACAAGACTCTATTTTGTGGTGTGGAAAAAAATGATCTGTGAGTGGGACTGGATGGAAAACATAATCCAACACAGTAAAAAGTTTCGAATGCCTATTTTGCTTACCTGTCCATTGAGGACGYGTCGACTCAATAGAATATACACTCATTGGGTACGGAAGACGAGACAGCATTCTTCGATTTGTTCCGATTGTTCGAGCACGCCGACGATTCCTTTGGCCATTGCCTTGATTTTTACCTTGATTCTGACTGCTACTTCGAGCATTGGATGAGACGGACAGCGTCGTGTGTTGGTCGCTGTTGTGACGTAGAGTAGTTTCTGGTGTCGCCGATGAATGCAACTCGTTCAGGGATGTCAACGCGGTTAACAGCGGTCGATCGTCAAATTGAACGTTCACCTTGCAACCTTTCGCCAGGCCGCTCCTTTTTGCAACCTCATTTAAGATTGACCATTGCAAGGCTTCGACGTTAGAATAAATTTTGTCGTAATCTCCTGATAACGAAGCTGGGATGAAGAACTCCAGTGGTATTGGCACAAAGGTCTCACTCAAAACCATTGATTCGCCATCCTCTGAATGAGACAGGTTCATTGGATCGTGTGGTGACGAATCGATACCCTTGATGCCGTTGCTAGAATGGACCAATGTATGCGCGCACGAATATCCGATGGGATAATTGGGAGCTCTAGTGGAATAAGTAACCAGGGGCTCGTTCAATCTTGGTAAGTACATGAACGCGGCTTCGTCCTTTTGTACTACCGACACATAATCGCCGTTTTCGTGAAGGCCACTGTCGTCCTCTTCATCCATGGATTCGGAGTTGCTGACACGCTTTGTACCGATAAAGGTCCATTGCAAATCAGGGTTTAATGCTTCATTCTCTTTCATTCGACGATGCTGATGCTGGTCTTCCTTTCGCAATGCCCTTCGATTAGGRAGTCGTACATGGTACGACATGGCTGCCCCTTGCTCGTGTTCGAGAATGGATCGGCAAATGAATGACTAGTTTTGCTGCTTGTCGTAAATTGGATCGGAGAATGAATGCCAATGAATTCACCTCTATTTTGTGTATTCGAGGTAGACTCMGGTGCAATTTCAGCTGTTCCTTCAAGTGAGAAAACAACACGTTTGTTATTGAATGCCACCAACGAACGATGTGTTGCTGGCATGTGTGTCTGCTGGTAGTGCCGATCAAGTAGAGCAGTTGGTGGCTGTTCCCGATTCGGCTTTGCTAGATACAGTACGTACTATGGTGCAGCACGGAAGATGCCGGCAAACACAGATGTTGCTTTTGATCTCCTGATYACTGAATCACAAGGAGAATGATGATGCCATCAATGAACTGCTGTACTAGCAAACGAATGGTAAATTCAGCAGTGGCATGGCATGTGTCCATTATTTGAAATATTTTCAGAAACGAATATATCGGATCCCTATCACATTTTCAAAAATATTATTGCCGTGGGATGCGCGGAACGTTCAAAAAGCGTTAAATGATACTCCGAGTGTAGACGAAGCTAGCTTCTTTGATTTGAATTTGAATTCGTTCCATTTAAATTGCACGTGCACCATGCAGCTACCACTACAGTGCTACTGTATGTACCATGGTAGTTCTCATGTTTGTAACGGATTTTAAATTTCAATCAGAGAGAAAAACGAAAAACTAAACAGGGTCATGAAAACGGTGTTCATCACGATATAATTTTTTTTCCCTCAAGAAAAACGAAAAATCAAGATTTTTCGTTTTTCTTGTGTTGTCCCAGGTAGGAAACTCTTATGCTGTTAGAGTGGTTTTTTGTCCAAAATATCAACAAAGATGGGGTGTGTAGCAAGTTATAGTCCTTTTTATTGGTGTCAATAGGGATATGCGATGCTAAATATAATGATCTAACTCCCATTTTTTACAAAGATATAGTGCTCACAGTGTTTTTGGTTCCTGGTGGCCACCAATTACGAGTATCATTGTTGACACTGTTAGGATATCATTTCTTGCAAAGTACATAGATGCATTGTTATTCCCAAAAAATCATTAATTAGTAGTACAAACAAAGGATACATGCCTTGGTATTGGTGCCAAGGGGAAGATGTGATGCTAAATGGAGTCATGTAACACTCTATTTTGAGCAAGTTATGATGGTGCCCACAATACGCCTGGTTTTTGAGCAAATAGTAGTACTGGCGGTGCTGTTGTCCCAACAGCAAGTGAGGAGTCTCTTATTCTGTGACTAAAGGAGATGTCTCAAAAGAAAGATAAAATCCCTTTCTATTGGTGCCATGGGGGGTATGTAATGCTAAATATAATGATCCAACTCCCATTTTTGACAAAGTTATGACCCTCCTCATACTAGTGATTTTGGTTCCTAGGCAGGTATCACTGACGATACTATCATTCCAGGAATAACAACAGTAAACTTGATGATAGCTGTTACATCAAAGTACTCATTTCAAAGACTTCTTGGCCTCTATGTGATTTGATGGGCAGAATTACTACTTTTTGGAGGACACTGCGGGTTCTTTTAACTTTCCAGATATATAAGGCACTGCTGGTTCTATGTCTCCAGAAATTACTTCATAAAAGTAATACAGTCCTGTACCTAAATGAATAACAAGAGACAAAAACATAGATAGCTTTTACATCAAAGTACTCATTTCAAACACTTATTGACCTCAAAGTGAGTCTCTGGGCAGAATTCCTACTTTTACTGGCATTTTGAGTGTACTCTGGGAATAGCAGAACATAACTTATTTAAACAATWAAGGCCTGTGTATTATCAATGATAATAGTCACAAATACTTATTATGGATGCTCTCAAGTGGTGTAATATATGTTAGGAATGGTGGGGGTAAATGTTTGTAAAAATGTTGCTAACGTTTGTGTTTCACRTTAGGAACGGTGGGGATAAACTTTCATAAAAACGTTACTAACATTTGTGTAAAAAACACTAGTCTAACGCAAACACTTGACCCAAAACATCACGTTATGAATGTTACAAATGCAAGGTAGAACATTATGTTACCCAACACTAAAAAATCAGACTTCCTCTGTCACATACAGTATTAGACAATGATGTAGCCTGCAACCTTTTCTCTTTTCTGGTGTCCCATAAAAGAGTGTCCCTACGATATGACCAGCTATGAGGACTGTATAGAATAGTACTCAATCACTACCAGAAACATATTTTCACTTTTAATCTTATTGTTTTAACCACATATTGTTCCTCCTACTGTGTTGGATTGGTGTCCTTCTGCTGAGCTTCGTCAGCAAGTAACTCACAAAGCCCTTCAAGAATGTGACTACCAGTAGGGTCCTCACAAATAATTGAAATCAGGATAGGGGTTGTTGGATTCACTGAGGAGCCAGCTTGCAGCTGTTGTTGCCATCAACACCAAGCAACGCTTCCATACAGCAATTCTGAAGCAATAAGAACACACCATTCAAAGTCTCACACTTGTACTCCTCATCCAAGGCTTCTTGTTGTTCCTCAACATTTGCAATCAAAGGATATTTGCCACCACCAGTACTAGTGGTAGAAGGAATGAAGGGGGGGGGAGTGAGTTAAAATTAGCAACAGCAATTCAAATCACAACAAGACGAGGACCCATTCAATGTTGGTTGATTGTTGACATCATGAGGCTAGTGATTGGCGTTTCCCCTGGCACTTCCCCCCCCACCCTTAGTAGTGGAGGCAACAGAGAACAGAGGCGCCAGCAAGTCAACGGATCCCCTATCAGTGGAGGCAACAAAGGTGCTGGCAAGTCAATGGATCCTCTATAAATGGATGGATCAGAGATACAACAAGTGCGGGCAAGTTGGTGGTGAGTCTTGCTGGGCGCTCCCCCCCTCTTAGTGCTGGGCCTCTTAATGGTGGAGGCAACAGAGATGCAATCCCCTATCAGCAGGAACTGGCAAGCCAAGAATGGATCTGCTGTTAGTGGACCCAAGGCAAGAAGTTGACCACCATTCCCTCCCCTATCAGTGAAAGCAAGAATGGATGAGATGCCAAGAAGCAAAGACCAGCCAATGGATCCCCTGTCAGTGAAAGCAGACCAGTGGATGCAATAAGCAACACATTGCAGTGGTAGCAGTAGCAGTCTACTAGTATATGATGCGCCACTACAGTTATTTGAGGTGAAAGAAAGAAGGCTTGAAGAGCAAAGAAAAATGATTAGTGGTCTTAGGAGTCACTTGAATAGAAAGTGAGAAGAGTGCAATTAACAAGTGCTGAAAATAACACAAGGAGCTGGTTAATCTTCACACCATGTGCATAGAATTTTTCTGTCTCTTTTCCCCCTCAAAATGCTGCTTGCAATGGCCCAAAATTAATCATCCCATAYGAAAACTGCATGTCCCTGAGCAATATTTGGCTCCTCTACAACTACTGACCCACTATGTTCCTGTACTAAACACTTCTTGAAATTACTACCTGATANAATATTATTGCCGTGGGATGCGCGGAACGTTCAAAAAGCGTTAAATGATACTCCGAGTGTAGACGAAGCTAGCTTCTTTGATTTGAATTTGAATTTGTTCCATTTTAAATTGCACGTGCAACATGCAGCTACCACTACCCTGCTATGTACCATGGTAATTCTCATGTTTTTAACGGATTTTAAATTTCAGAGAGAAAAACGAAAAACTAAACACCTAAGGAGGGGGTCATGAAAACGGTGTTCAGTACGATATAATTTTTTTTCCAAGAAAAACGAGAAATCTTCTTGATTTTTCGTTTTTCTTGTGTTGTCCCAGGTAGGAAACTCTTATTCCGTAACTAAAGATGTCTCAAAAGAAAGATAAAATCCCTTTTTATTGGTGCCATGGGGGGTATGTGATGCTAAATATAATGATTTAACTCCCATTTTTGACAAAGTTATGACGCTCACAATGTTTTTGGTTCCTGGGCTGATATTAGTGCATCATACTACTATACTGTTAGTAGAATATTATCTGTTCAAAAATACCACCATACTAGTACTAGATGAGGTTTGTAGCAAAATATGCAACGAGTATGTGGCAACAGTACGGGGATCACTCGTGGATCCAATCATGAGTCCCCGGGACCCAAAACTACGTCACACAAACCGGATCTATGGTATTGCGCGTTTCACGCGGTTGACACGTGCTCGGAATCAACTCTAAAGTAAACGTTCTTAATGCCTCAATTTCGAACGAACTTGATGCTCTGCAAAGTGAAACCGGAAGTGAAGACAATGAGGACGATTCTGAGGCGATTCTGACGAGGCAACAAGTGGGAATACTCTAGATTGCCCACTCAGCAAGAAGAGGCGGGTGACACGCACCGACACCAGCTTGCCRCTGCATTCTCCTCTTAGGTTATGGCACCCTTTTGATTTCACGCAGTCCACCGTACCTGTTGGTATGTCCTTGGAACAGCACTGTCGTAACAACTCACACCACACTATTATTGGAGGAAACGCATTTCACGATCTTGATTTCGGAGTCAACAGCCACGGAATCCACCTCGCTTCGCCTGGGGAAAGGCTTCACATGAATCAACTCGGATGTGCGAAACATGCAGCGGAAACGTTCCGCGACGTCTTCCTGTCTAATTCAAAGAAGCTCCTTGATTGTATGGATTTGATCGCTGGCTACTACGGTGGTTCTCTCCAGAGGAGATTTCCCCAGAACCAACTTCTCTGAGTCCATACATACTGCGAAAAAGGAGGGTAACCATTTTAGCTGTATGCTTCTGTTACAGATCCTCTCGCTGTTGTCGAAGGATGGTCGCGCATTCTTGAGGCCTTACCACAGCCAGGAAGAGATTGATGGTCGGATATACGCTCTGGAATTAATTCTGGGGATGGAAGAATTTCTTAAGTGGTCTGGCACCCCACGCGAGATTTTTCACTCAGAGCCTGATGCGAACGGCCTCAACGATGCCTTCAAGTTTCCCAAAGGGAAAATGGGCGCAAATAACCTGGACAAAATGGTTGTTCACTTTATTAACAACATCAACAATTACCTCGGAAGAAAGGAAGGAAATGGTAACAATCTTATAAAAAACCACATGTACTTTCACCTCTCCCAATACATCCGTCTTTTTGGGCCCCCCTCTGGATGGGATTCTTCTTGGAGTGAAAGCAACCACAAGACGGAGGTTAAAGCGCCAGCTAAAAGAACGTCTCGAGTTTCCAGTTCACTGATCAAACAAACTGCAAAACGCCACATAGAG